AAACAAAACCATCTCCCAAGCATTTCTTTCAATCCTGAACACAAGCCTCATTCTAACTTCCAGTGATAACTGAGCAGTGTGAGCTGTATAGTGGAATGAACATTTCTAATACAAAACAAACGCCAGCACATCCATCTTAAAATGTAGTGTCTTAATGTGATCCATGACTTACCACCTTTTATACTGCTTTCTGTTTGATTATAATTTTATCTATTAATCATGCTAATCCAACAGAATCTGCCTTAATCAAATGTGAATCAATTACCCAGTTCTTCAAATTATATTTTTAATGAAAGACATTTTTTAAAATTGAATGCCAATTAGGCCAAGTCTAACTTGTTCAAGAAAGTTCGGGTTATCACAGAACAGTGTGAGCCTTGGACTCTACCTGTATTTCTGGCACTTTCTGATGAGAGCGTGCTGTGTGCTCTTAGACACAGCCATTAACCTCTCTGTAATTCCCAGTTTTCCACCTGTGAAATGGAGATAATGATCCTTCTGGCTTGGGAAATGATTTTATGGCTCAGTTGAAAAATGTAGCTAGAATACTATTATTTTTGTAAAGCCTTATGTAATTTTGATCTTAATTTCTTACTGTGGGTGGCTTTGTTTTCCTGAACACCACAGTAGGCTGCTTTTCCACACCATTAAAGAGCCATACAGGAATCTGCAGAGGGGGAAATTATGCTAGGCAAAGTCTGTCTTCAACAGACATTCTTTTTAAAACTACTGATTTTTATTAGTTGTGTGTGTGTGTGTGTGTGTGTGTGTGTGTGTGTGTGTGTGTGTGGAGTGCGTGTGTGTGTATGCATGCAGAGAGAGAGAGAGTAAGTGCCCAAGGTGGCCAGAAGAGAGTTTCAGATCCCTTGGAGCTGGAGTTACAGGCAAGTGGTAAACTTCTGTGTGGTACTGGGAACTGAACTTGGGTCTTCTGTAAAAGCAGTATATGTTCTAAACCGTTGAGCCATCTCTCCAGTCCTTTGGGCAGACATTCTTCACCAGGGATTCCTATGGGATCAAAGTGCCAAGGATGGTTTAACTCTTGGACTCACGAACTTCAGTCTGAGTGGCCTTTAGGAGCTCTGACTGGAAAAACATGCAAGGTTGCTTTTGAGTTCAGTAGAATAAGGGCTGCCTTCATAAGGCCTGAGGCAGACATGAGAATGGAGCACAGAGGCACGAGGACAGAGGGAGTGGGCTACAGCCAATTTGGGGTTAAAGGGCTCTGTACATGGACTTCTGAAGTCTGGCTCCACTGAGACTGTGGATCCTTGTATTATCTGGCTCCCATTCACTGAAACAAACAGCTTATAATGAGGAAAGCTTCATTAGGCTCATGGTTTCAGAGGTTTTAGTTCAAGGTCACATGGCCCTATTGCTTTGGGTCTGTGACAGGAGAGTCTATTATGTGGGGAATACATGGGAGCCTGGTAGAGAAAGCTACTCAGCTCATAGACAGCCCGGGGAATCAAGAGGAAGAGACACATAGATAATAATTATAGTTTTATTTCTGTTACTGTGGCAAAATACCCTGACCAAAAGCAATGTAGAAGAGAAGAGATTTATTTGGCTTACAATTCCGGGTGACAGGTCATTGCCAAAGAGAAGACAAGGCAAGGCCTCAAACAGTCACATCACAGCCACAGTCAAAAGCAAAGAGAATAAACGCATCCTTGTGCTTGCCTGCTTGCTTGCTCCCAGCTAGCCTTTCCCTTGCTTATAATGTTCAGGACAACCTGCGTAGGGAATGTGGGTATTTTTATATTAATTATTAATATAGTCCCCTACAGACATGCCCACAGGCTGGCCTGTTCTAGTTGAGACTCTTCCCAGCTGATCCTAGGTTGTGGAAAGTTGATAATTAAAAACTAGCCATCACAGACTTCGACAGGCTTCTGATATTCTTTCCAAGGATGTGTTGTCCCATGTCCCAACTTCCTCCATCTAGGTCCAACCTCAAAGCTCTATTGAGGGAACTTTCAAGAAACCAGCAATAGCAATCATTCTCCCTCTCCCCTCCCTCTCCCTCCCCCCTCATGCTGTGTTCGTGTGTGTGTGTGTGTGTGTGTGTGTGTGTGTGTGTGTGTGTTTGTGTGTTTATGCACATTTCTCTAGATGGGTCTATACTTAGAACTGACTTCTAGTAAGTTTCTAAATGGTGTCTAAGGACAACTGCTTTAGGCTCAAATTGGCTATGAGGTCGATGACCCAAGGCTTGGTCTGGGGCTGATACTGTGGGATCATCTCCACCTGTTCAGTGATGGCAGACAGGCATCTTATCAGCAGACAAGTGTCTGTGTGTGTTCTGTAGAGCTAGCTGCCATTACACCGTGTGAAATTGGGGGATCTGGACCTCTTGGGAAGAGGGCTCTTTCAAGTTGTTCAAGTTTAGGGAGGTAATGATAGTTGCCACATTCTCTTTTTTTCTCTGTCATAAGTGCCTACTCCTCTGGTATTTAGTGCTACAGTGGAGTTGAAATTACACAGTTGATCCAGTCAAGCATCTTCTGTACATCAATGACAAGTGATCTCATGGTGGTAAAAAGCTCTCTTGATGGCAGTTGGCAGTGTGATATATTAGTGACTATTGATGGACAGCTAGGAGCCATCTTTCAGTTTTGGGATGTCACAGTGTCATAGTGGTTCATGGAAAACCATTTTATTAATGATCATCCATGGGGGGGGTGCTACTGCCCCATGAAATGGCCTGGCACCTGATGTGGAAACTGAGTTCTGTGACTGTTCTGCTGGTAATTTCTTTGCCATTTGACTTAAGTGGGAGCGACATGCTTCCACTTGGAGCCAACACTACTTCCAATTTCTGAGTTCTAATGCTGTTAGAATGGAGACCTGTAGCCCATCCCGTGTGAACACGATGCTGTGGGGGGGGTTGAACTAAGCACCACTGTTAGTGCCCGGTTATCTCTAATAATCCAGATTGTGTGCCTCCCCTCACCCCCAGTGCCCCAGAAAGTGCAGTGAAAGCATCTTGTAGGAAAGTCTCACTACACACAAGTTAGATGACATTTTCTCTTCCAGAAGTTATGACTCTTCTGAATAGATTTTTAGTACAACTATCTGGTCAATAAAGTGAATATCTGGAGCTATTTAAAATGTGTTTTTGTTTGTTTTGTTTTCCAGTGTTCGAGGGTGTGTGTGTGTGTGTGTGTGTGTGTGTGTGTGTGTGTGTGTGTTCAGTTGCCTGTGAAGGTCAGAAGGTGGTGTAAGATTCCCAGAAGCTGGAGTTACAGACAGTTGTGAGTGGACCAGTGTGGGTGCTGAGAATCAAACCCAGGTCTTCTGGAAGAACAGTGAGTGTTCCTAACCACTTAGCTATCCCTCTGGCCCCATGGCCCCTTTGCATTAGAAATAATAGAAACAGGAAATGAGGATTAAATTAAAAAAAAACTTGAATCTATCCAACTTGAACCTATCCAGTTTATTTACATATCTGCTTTAAGATGAACACACACACACACACACACACACACTCAAACACACACACACACACACACACACACAGAGCACAAACATACGCCTCCAGTAACTAATTTATATTCTCTGACTATATATTAATTAAGAGTAGGAGGGAGGGAGGGAGAAAAGAGACAAAAAGTGGGATAGGACAATACCTTCAATTTAAATTAAATTTAGATTTAAAATTATGCCACTCTATTTGGAGAACTTCTGTCAATAACTCACGTTATTCACCTATCTTTTTAATGCTGCAGTGACAGTTTAATCTTCAAGGACAATTAAAAGAGTTAGTATTATTTTGAGTCTTTTATGTTATAGTAGATTATTTCACATTAAATGTTAAATACCTATCAGTTTTCATTTCCTGCTAATAAATCCCCACATTCATCAATCAAAAATATGATCATATGAGACATGTGTGTACAGAGAGAGGGGTAGGAGAAGAGCGAGAAGGGAAAGGGAGAGGGAGAGAAGAGAGATTGAGAGTGAGAGAGATACTGAGAGAGAGAGATGGAGAGGGACCAGAAGAGGAGGGAGCAAGAGAGCGAAGAAGACACAAAAGGAGGAGAGAGGTGAGAGTGGGAGATTGGAAGAGAGAGAAAGACACTGAGAGGGATAGAGAAAGGTTGAGAGAGAGAGATTGTGAGGGAGAAGGAAAGGGAGGAAGAGGGCAGGGAAGAAAAAGGGTGGGGAAAAGAGGAGATAGAGAGGGAGAGAGGGAGAGAGGGAGAGAGGGAGAGAGAGAGAGAGAGA